GGAAAGGGGACTCCAGTCCCAGAAAGGAAGCAAGAAGAGAACCTCCTGGGGTCTGCAAGTAGTCCAGACTTATCCAACAGAGTTACAAACATTGAAGTTACTCTTGGAATGAAGGCATTGTTTCAGTGAATGCCGTGTACAAAACTCTCCCCTTTTTCTCACCCAATTCTCCAGGTGCTTCAGCTTTTCTTTCTTTCTGGTGGTGTTTTTGTGCTTGCCTGCTTGTTGTGCAGCAACAGAAAGTGTTGTCCAGTTGCCCATCCCTGTATCACTCAAGAGCTTCCTTGGCTTCTTATACAATATCTCTTGATTCTGGGGCGGGGGAGATGAGGGCTGGGGAGGGTGAGGATGGAAAGTGGGTGGGATGAGTTTCTTCCTAACTCTTCCATTGCCACTATGAGAAGCCAGGGAGGCTGCACACAGGGAAGAGAGGATTAAACACTGAAAAACAGGGTGCTTTACCCACATGTCCTCCCTTCCTTGCCGTGAAATAAGTGCAAAAATACAACATACCAACCATGAGCATTTCACTGAAATTTTTTTGGGGGGGGAGTGGGGAATGAAAGCACTTTCTCTCCCACCAAAATAAGTGAGAATATCCAAGGAAGAGCAAATGAAAATTTCAGCACCGAGGTAGTTCTGACGCTGCTGGAAGTCCCCACAATGAAAAACAGTGAGCATAACTAACTCCTAGCTAAATGAACAAACAAAACTATATTCTGCAGCAAAACCCAACCAATGTTCTTGATTGATATACCTGCAACTAATTCTCTGTGCAAGTTATCTACATGCAGTTATAAAAACACCAGGGTTCCTCTGTAGTTAGAAAATTTGCAGGATTCCTAAATGACAGAATGAGGTGTACATGGTCATACGGGTAGTCCTTGTTTACTGACCACAATTGGGACTGGCAACTTGGTCACTAAATGAAGCGGTTAAGTGAAACCGTGACCGTGCTTAGTCTTACTTCAGCTTTCCTTCGCTTTACAGACCTGTGAAGGACGTAAATGCAAGGACTGGTCACAGTTACTTTTTCATCACTGTTGTAACTTCAGTTGCTGTTTGAGGCAGTCACTAAATGAGGACTACCTGTATTGGACATAGGACATAGCTGCATAAGCTCGCTGCATGTGTGTGTGTGTGTCTATATATAGATCGAATTCATCTATTTATAAAAATAGGTACCAATGAGCATTTAGAGAAACATGCTGTGATTTATTACCTTGCAATAATAATTCCCCCTTTCTAAATTGGCCATGGAAACTAAACTTACCCAGACTTCAAGGGGAATTCCCAAACATTCAGATGAGGCTAGGTTCTGAGCACACGCCAATGCTTGCTTCCATCATACAGTTGAACAAAGCAAACAAATTTAGAGAAAGCAACAGATTAAATTATTAAATGAAATTAAGATTCTTTTTCTTGGTAAAATGGTTTAGATGGTTTAACCTTTGATTTTCCCAAGGAGATTTTATTGGGAAGGTGGACTGTTAGTCTTACAAACATCCCATTTACCCAAACCATGGACAGCTTTTGGCTCACATCTTTCTTACACAGTGCTGAAATGCCCTTGTAGGCTCTTTGCCAAAAAGTTAGAAGTTTTTATTAATAAATACAGTTGTTATGCCATAAAACCTGATGTTGCATTGCGTGATACCTTTTTATGATTATTGAACCATAGACGTTCTTCACCAAATTGATTTATGCCGGCAGAAAGAGCCATAATGACTATCACAAGGAGGGCATTTAAAACTGAGAGTCAGTGGAATTTGGAAACTAGTCCAGAGAAAGTATCTACCAGGGGATTTAACTGCTGTCAGAGTGCTTAACTGCAAAATTTGCCCAACTTCAATGTTTATAGAATTTTTGGCTGCATAAGCACTCCCTAAAATGAAAACTTTTGATTCTCTGCATGGCTTTATCACCCATCAAGGAGCAACGTTCAAAATGTATTTTAGCAAAGCAGCAGCTTCTGAGAAGGGCTCGTTTCAGGAACAATACAGATTGAAAGTATTCCAGAAGAACTTCATGTTTCCTGATCTTATCTTCGTTTCACCTGCAGATGATAAATATAATCTCTCCCCCCGCACCATATTTTCTTTGGCTTTAACATACCCACAGCATATGGGGCCGAAAATGCTCGACACCAAATCTAGCCTGAGCGCAGAACTGTAACTCCTGCCAGTTTGAGTGAAGGACACATCGAGGTTTGGGGAATATGTTTTGTTTGCTTTGGCAGCTAAACAGGGTAGAACGGTTTCCATTCCATCCGAATGCAGTCAAACGCTATTGAAATATTGCACAATAAAAGCCATTCATTATAACTGTCTTCTTGGCTTTCTGAAAAGAAAATACAACAGAAAAAGGCTGACCAGTTCCAAATCTGTGCAGGGGTCAGGAAGTGAGGAGGCAAGAGGTCACTGGAAATAGACCAACACTGAGGGTTTTTCCCCCCCTTCTGGGTCTCGGTTAGGGAATATGTTCCATACTTTCATTTCCATCACATACTGGGTTTCCCTTGAGTTCTCCAAGGCTAGCTCAAGTAGTTAATTGCTCTGTTATGCACAATTTACAAGGCTTAATTACAAAACTAATACATTAACCTTCTTGTCTAAGTGTCAAAGGCAAAGTTATGCCTTCCCCTAAGGCCTGGGGGGCAGTTAAAGCAGTCTTCAGGCATCAGCGTGAGTGTGAATTCTGCCATTGGAAAAGACAGAGGTCTGTACAGAGCGCGGAGGGGCCGAAGGAACGCTGGAATTATTTAATCATTATGACATTTCTTTCCTGCATTCTCTCGGGGAGTTCAAGTTGATAGACAAAGGTTTCCAACTCGTTTTGGAACCAAGAGTCCTGTTGGGTAGGTTGGGCTGAGAGCAAGGGGCTGACCTAAAGTCACTAAATGTGTTTGGTGGCTGAATGGAGACTTGGTCTTGGGTCTTCCTGGCTAACAACTGCAGGTATAATTTAAGAGAGATTTGAAATAGCATTTCCTAAAAAGTTGGCCTTTGGTCAGGCCAAATTGGTGTGCTGAATAACAATGCTGGGGGAAAATCAGGAGTGGAATTTATGTGTGAAACGACTTGTTTTGTTTCAGTACATATTACACAAGCCTTGCACTTGATCAGTGCTCAGGGATACTCCATTCCTTTGCACAGACCTGTCCATTTGAACTATCTTGTACTTGGTTTAAATGGATGTATCTCAGGATTACAAAATTAACAATAGATTCTGCCCACTCTCGGTTTGGGCATCTTTGGATCAGCTGGTGGAATTGCACCCTTGATATTTGCCTCGCCACCCCCTCAACCCCCTCATCAGAACGGCAACGATTTCCAATGAAAACAAACCAGCTGATGCATTAAAGGTCATCCTGTCAGTATATCATTAAAAGTTTGTCCATACATCTTTTCTATACATTTTTATAAGAAGTTAATCTGAACACATCTGGAATTTTTTTGGACAAATAAAGCCTAGCTAGTGTCGTCTATAAAAACACCTGGGTTGGCTGGTGAGGGAAGTTATGCTATACTAGCGTATCATTACCTGTTCAATTCTGTTCAATTCAGTTACCAAGATGTTCTATCCGTTCACACACACAAAAGCACAACAGAGTTCAAGTGTTTATACAAGGGAGATAATCTTGGGGGAGGGCAGAGTTTCATAGTGAAATGTGTTTCATTTGTCAATCTCAGATTCAATCCCTGGCATCTGAAAGGATAAGCGAAAAGGCAAAGAACAGAAGAGAATGGGAAAACCCTCCCTTAATACTCTGATGAATTGCTACGAATCCTAATGTTCAGTAGCAGATAAAGTCTGATTTACTCTATCCAAATTGGTTTAACTGGAGGTGCTAACAGTAAAACCAGAGAGCTGTTACTTGTAGTTTGCTACTAAACTCTGAGCCCTCCTTGCAGGAATGCTGCAAAGATAGTAAGAATAGAGGCCTCTTCTATAAGCTCCAGGAATGCCCTTGATCAGCTGTGAGGAAGCAAGCTTGCATGCACCTAATTGGGCAAAGAAAGCATTGTCTCAAGGGGTAATGCAGCAGAGTTAATGAAGCATTTTTGCACATCCGTGTGCCACTGAGGATCAGAAAGAACACATCCAAATCTTCCAGCACAGAAGACTTTTCTAGAAGTGCAAACTATAATCACGAGGTTATCCCTGTTTTGAGAAGTATTGCAGGTCTGTGTACAGGAGATCATTTAAGTTAGAAAAAATTAGCCCTCAGCACAGCATGTTTGTTTTAAAAAAAAAAAAGTAGGTAAGTCTTTGGTTTAAGCCTGGATAATCCCTCTCTCCCCAAGATCACAGCATTGATCAAGAATAGGATTGTAAATTAAAAAAAAAAAACTTTACTTGTAAAGCCAGACAAGCTGAACTCCTACATGCAAGATTAGGCTAACATGAGGGTTGGGTAATTCAGTTTGATGTGGGAACAAAGCTGTTTTAGTACAGTATGCTTTGTGAATCAGAACTTCACGCAGTCAATATACTTCGTTTGCATGTAACATGTTGCGTGAACGTGTCAATTGTGCAGTGTTAGCTGAATTTAGCATTTGTGACCCGCTGCTAGCAACTTTTGCTAAGTAGTACTGTGCAAGTTTCCCTGCATATAAATCTCTCTCCCAATAGAGGAAAACAAAACTGCTCTTGAAACAGTTAATGTTGAAAATTCATTTGGCCCTCCTGGCATTTGTCCAGATTTTCTAAATGGGAGGCAGATGCGTTTGACTCCAAACCCACAACAGCCATATGACAACCTCCAGGGCTCAGAACTGGGCAGAAGCTGTAAAGTATGCATTTCTTCATTTCTCAAAGGTGCAGTGTTTCACAGAGGCTTATGGTCCCTGGATGAAGTGTTTTACTTACACAGTTCAGAAGTGAGCAGCCTCTTGCCAATTCTGTTCTCAGGTCCAAGGGTCCCAAATAGCCAAGGAGCAACTTGCTAAGTGTTCAGCAAGACTTAGTTTATTCATCATTCACACTTCAAGCCCCAATTTTGCTCAGGTTACAATTTCTAGCTTTCAATTATTACTTGAACTGGAAGGGCTAAATGATAGCTGTTAACAATTTCTGAATCATCTTGGGTTCACTGCTTTATTATATACACTCCATCTTTCTTCATATATTAGCAAACTGTCTTGTGATGCCAAATGTGACTGTGCTGCAGAAGCAAACCAAGTCTGATAGATGGATCTCAATTTATCATTCAAGCATGTACACACAGTGTGAAGCCTCCCCCACCGCCCAAATTTTACCTACTGCTTCTCAGTACAAAAACAGTAAGAGCGTTTAACAGCATCCATAAAACAAAAATGCAAAAAGTGAAATGATTTAAGATAATGCACATTTCAGACCATCAGAACTGGAATGTAAGACCATGTTTTAAAATGAAATGTATTTATTTTGTGTCTTCTGGTAGCAATAAATGGCTATGGATCATTTACTGCTTAACCCACAAAACTAAAATATACAGAAACTATTTTTTAAAAAATCCTTCCAAAGTCTTCTGAACTGGGAACATCAAAACTTTTTAAAAAGTGTTAGAAACGCTCCTGTCGCATATAGGTGCATAAAACCCATGCACAGCTGCATGCCTTGAGAAAGGAAGACGACAAAACTTGTTGTGACTGCCCTTGTCTACCACCCAAAGGTTGTAGCACCCAAGATATTATTTTAGTACTTCAATGATGTCCATGGTCCAAAAGGTTTAGAGACCCCTTTCCAGTGATACATGTTTGGTTTTGACTCTTATCCACATTTCTGGCAGAACTCCATCGAGCAGTCAGTAATTAGAACCACCCAACCTACAGTGGATCAGCCTTGTCAGCTAGATGCAATCATACATTTCCAATTACTTCTGAGTAGAACCCATTTTACTGGCATTCCTTTCTCCATTTTTGTTTTCAGTTCACCCACTCCTCTCAATTTCCTTCTGAAAAAAAAAAAATGGAAAGGGAAGAAGTCAAAGGTCTACACATTTAAAAAAAAAATACATATGAATGATGGCCACATTAAAAGCTCTGTGCGACATGAATGGCTGCAGCAAAATCTTTCACATTCATCTTTTAGACAGCATCAACCTTAATTTAAAGAATAGGTTGATTCTTCAAGAACTTTCTTATTTCAGAAGTCTTTCGATGACAGCGGTCACTTTTGTAACCCAGGCTGGCTCTTCTGTTCCTCTGAATGTGGAAGGCGACACTCTGATCTTTTTCAGCATCCAGTACACATAAGCTCCTTCTTCTTCTTGATCCATAAGTGCTAATCACAGCATGCTTTGATTCTTGAGGACCGGAAGATGACAGCCTTTTTTGGATTTTACAGGCAGACTCCAGAGGAACTTGGCCTAGGAAATCATCAGCAGGGATCTGAATCCAGTTAAGGCCCTCACTTTCTGCATCTTTCTGCAGCCTCATGCTGCGTCTCACCCTTTTTGTTACACTCCTGTTTTCCTCAACAGAGCATAAATGGTTTAAAAGCGCAGCGTCATCTGCTGTCCAAGAGCAAGGTGGCAAGCCTCCCAGATTTCCTCCAGCAACACCAGCACTGTTTCCAGGACTTTTGGACCGAATGTCCTCAGTATTCAGAAAGTCTTCAGTCAATCTTCTGTTGCTTCTTGGGATACTTTCAAAGTTCACCGGATTGCTTTCACTCATTAGCTCTGTTGCAAAATCTACACTGAAAAATGAAGTTTCTTTAGCCTTGATATCTTTACCAGTTCCACACATGTTTAGTAACTCCTCCAGCTGCATTTCTGTCCCACTTGACAGATAGTCACTTCCTACCACTTGTCCATTTCCATTTAGAGAACGCTTCAATTTCTGAGGAGAGCTCTTTTCAGACAAGTATCCCGGAAGCAATTGTTTTCTGTTGTTCAGAGCAAGGTCTTGAAGCTGCAAGAATGAACTAGACATGCTATCTTCTTCCTGAAGATCCAGGCTGGAATGCTGACAATGGCTGTCCTCTTCTATAGCAGGTGGTAGACTCTTTTTGTCTTCAGCAGTTTCACTGATAAATTTAGCATGCAGGTCACTTAAAGATTCATCTGAAACAAAGTTTCAAATAAATAAGTGAGAATATGATTTAATCTAGTTTCAGGTTCTTGCTCAGAGCTTGCTCTGTTGTTTTCCACTTTTTGAACTTTTTAGCACAAGCTACCCCATCCCATAGGTTTAAAGACATTTTGTCTTATAGCATCCTCCTTCAGCCATAATGAGTCACTACTAGCTGTTTTCTTAACTTCTAGAATTAAGAAAATTGCATGGGAATTTAACATGCTATACTCTTGGTCTTTCATCAAAATCAGTTCATTGCAATCTGTCCCTTTTTGAAATAGCTTCACAACTTCTTCCTCCTTGCTCACTTTGCCTCTTTTTGAAGTATTTTAATGTCATAGAGGGATAAGCAGTCCAGGGTCATTCTATACATTCATTTACAAGTGAATGTAAAGTATATAATGCATATGCTAAGCTATTTTAAGTAGTCTGGCACTGCCCACGCATCCTAAGATCTTGCTGATGGAAACAAATTTGCTTATATTATGAAATACCCATTACCTACACCTGTAGTTCATCATTTTTTTTTCATTGCCAAGTGAGATAAATCCACAATGTGTAGAGAAAAGAAGATACATAATTTTTAAAAAATCTGCTAAAAAGTAAAGACCCAGACCATATAAACATTCCTGTTTACCATATATCTAAACTGTCATCAATAGTAGGTCTGTTGCAACTGCGATAAAATATAAAATCCACCCACGTTTGACAGAATTGTGGCTCCTGCCTCTGAGATTCCATTATTTTAGCTTTCCTTGCCATCTTTTCTAACGTGGCAATTGAAGGGGGCCTTTTAATCCACCAGTTCATCACCAGTGAAGAAGAACAGCCTATAACCTTACGTACCAGAGGTAGAAACATTTAAAGTTGGTGTGTTTGGGTGAGAGGAAAAAAAGGAGGCATCTTCTATTGCCTCCAGGATCGGACTCAAGAGAGGTTTCTTCGATATTGTCTCTCGTTGCCCGTACAATGCTTTCTGCTCCTTCTTCCCCCTCCTCTTCCTTTTCCCCGTAAATTTGTGTTGGGCGGCCTGCAAATAAATGGGAAGAGACCAAAACATCCAGTTAAGATGGGTTAATATAATGTACAATCCAGGCACATTCAGAGCTGGCTTGAATTGCAGCAAAGGATATAGATAATAAATCAATAAAACACGTTTAACAAATCTTTTTTAAAAATTCCTGGCCTAGGACAATGTGTGAACCCAGCTGCCATAGATACCATTATTAAAGAAAAGGATATAAATTACATACATCTATAATGTAAGTTACTCACTGGGACTTTTTTAGATTTCGTTGAAGTTTTGGCTTTCTGGAATTTGCCAGGCTGATTCTTGGCTTCAATTTTGGTTGCAAGATTCTTTTCTTCTGCTTTCACTACACACTGTTTGGAAATATCTATATTACAAAACAGGACTGCTACTGTATAAAAACTATGTCTTATATAAGGAACTATTAAAAAAGGAATATGTACAGAAATAGTACTGCACAGAGTTTTCAAAGCAGAATCTTCCATCTTACTGATATTCTTTTATTTACCATTATTTTTGGGATATGCAATAGATTTCATATCTCATCCATTAACAGCCTTTCCCCTTAATAGTGGGGAGGGGGGGAAACTATTTCAAAAACAGATAAACTGAATAGAAAGTCCCAGCAAAGCTATTCATTCATGTGTGTTAATCAACTTATAAATATTACTTTTTATTTATACCTTCCTTTTAGCAGAGGTCCGAGTAGTTCTAATTGAAGGAGCCAGATGGTCAGGAGAATTATTTTTTATTTCTAAAAATGAGCAAAAAACTTGTTAGGCACAAAGCTTTGGCACTTATTTCAGCAATGCATATGGTAATTTCTTCATTAGAAGCATATACTGCTTACTTTTAAAATCCCACAGCAGTTTAAAATAATAAATATATTTTTAAATAAGGAAATAAAAGAAGGCATAAAGAGACAAAAATGAATGGCGTGTAATGGCTGGGAAGACCAACGTAAAAAAATAGGTTTTAATAGATGCCTAAGGCACATACAAGAGCCAGTTTGGGGGAAGTTATTAAGGCACCAGGCTAGAAAGTGGGAGACTGTGAGTTCTAGTCCTGCCTTGAGCACAAAGCCAGTTGGGTGACCTTGGGCCAGTCATTCTCAGCCCTACTTCCAAAATCTTGCCAAGAAAACTGCAGAGACTTGCCCAGGCAGTTGTCAGGAATCAACATTGACTCGAAGGCACACACACCCACTAAAGGCACATATGCGCATGGTATGGCACACCCCAAAGCAGAGACCATTCTACAAAACAAGTATTGCTGCAAAACATCTGCCTCTACGTCACTCCCAAAAAGCAATCTGCAAGTCACTGTGCAGAGGGCAGATCTTCTGTTAGGCTGATAGAGTTATCTATTTAATCAATTTATTAGCCACCTGAATTGCCAAAGGAACTCAAGGTAGTATGCAACAAAAAAATTAAAAACACTCTTAGGTAACCTGGCCCTATGCTGTTTAGGGTTTTATATAATAACACTAGTATTTAGACTCTGGTTCTCTAGCAGACTGATACTAAAATGCAAATTGTAAAAAATATAGGAACATATCTTCACCTTCAAGGTCAGAGATCCCAGGACATATTGGAGTGGCTACTTCCTCAGATGATCCTTGAAGATCCTTTAACAAGAAAGCAACATTTCAAGCATTAAGTTCTTGAAAGACCTGGACAAGGTTCTTTGACTGAAGTTATTTATTGAAGATTTGCAAGACAAAATAAGCATATAGTTAATAATTATATACCAACCTTCAAGCCTTCTGGTAAGATTTTGACTGGTGTTTTCTTCAGAACAGAACGTAGGGAATTGGAAAATAAATGACCTTTCTCCACAGGGGTGATGGGTGGTTTGCTTTCATCAAAGATTTCCAAGCTCTGCTTTTCTGAAAACCGAACCTTCTTACAGCTGTGTTGAGACGTATCATTTCTGCTTAATTCTTTGTTCACAGACTGGGGACCTCCACAGTGCAACAACAAAAATCACATTGTAAGTATTTATAACAATATCTACTCAATGATAAGCCACACATAACTCCATGGAACATGTGTCCATTGCTAAAATAAAACTAGTCCTTTCCTCTGCAGACATAAACAATAACATGCTTAAAAACGTGCGATCAACCTTCATGCTGTATTTGAATTAAATAACAGAAAACAACTTAAGGACTTGCATGTCAAGGTGATTAGAATCTAGTTTGCAGCTTCCATCGCTGCACTGAGTAACATAGTACATGAACATTTAACTTAACTAATTCATTGTGATTAATTTCTAATCTGGCATCACCAAACATACTGATAGGAATGACTGCAATTTTGTGGAATACATTTGGAAAGTGGACTGTTTCTAAGAATCAGTGGAATACATTAACTTGCAAAGCTAATCTGAAGTATTAATTCACCATTCAAAACTATTTGTGTACCATTTTCATATTTGCCACCAATATTTCAAAAACATAATAAGCAAGACTTGCTATAAAATCAAACATAATCAAAATGGACACTATTATTGTCTTTGTTTTCAACCAAAAAGAAAATCTACAAACCTTTTTGTATCAAAATAAAGCCTTAACATGCCAGTTAATTCTTACCACATTCACTCTTCGATATGCCCATACTTGGAGTAGCAGCCAAAGACACACTTGTAGATTCCACAGTATTCACTGGTGAGACCAGAATGGCCTGGGAACACACAATTCAAGTTTCTATTTTGACACATTATTTTAGTTTACATAGATGATTAATGACCATCTTTAGGCTTTGGGACCTAGCCATTCAAAACAACGCAGAAAAATCTTGGGAGCAGGGACATAGAGAGGCTGCTGTGCTACTAACCCATCCACTGATTGTTTGGCTTCTAAGATGAAGGCTATAGGAAAACGTAAAGAGAAAGAAATTAGGGTGCCAGTTTGCTTCCGGGTCCAATTCAAGGTGTTGGTTATCACCTTTAAAGCCCTACATGGCATAAGTCTAGGTTACCTGAGGGACCATCTCATCCCCATCACATCAACTCGGCCCACCCGGTAAGGCAGAGAGGGCATGCTACAGACCCCACTAGCGAGAGAATGTCATCTGGCAGGGCCCAGGAGGAGAGCCTTCTCTGCCGTTGCCCCCACCCTTTGGAATATTCTCCCCCCAGAGGTATGGTGGGCCCCTATCCTCCCGGTTTTCCGAAAAGGTTTAAAGACCTGGCTCTCTCAGTGTGCATGGGGTGATATGGGTTCTACCCATTCCTGGGGGTGGTGAGCCCTCTGACGATGCTCCCTGGAATTACTTGCCAACTCTCCATCTTTCTTGGAACCTATTCATTTTTAGGATTTTGCATTTTAATGAATTTTATCTCTGCTGTAAACCGCCCAGAGTCGTTTTAACAAGATGGGCAGTGACAAATTTGATAATAAACTAAATAAATTAAAATATGTCTCATTTCCTACGCTTCTCTTCCATGGAATAACTAAGACTATATTTGATAGGCTAAAGAGAAACACAGTCAAAATGGGTGTTGCGGTCAGTGAAGGGCAAGAATCAGCATGAATCAATTGACCAACTTCCATGAGACGAACTTCACAGGCATATTGTATGGATTCAAAGGGAAACAATTATAATACCACTAATCTTTTATATAGTCTGAAGCTACTAAAAATATCCACCATTTTGTATAGGGAGCATGGTTGGCAAAGCCATACAATGCTACCTACTTCTACAGAGATATCCATAATTCATACCTTAGACATAATATTGGTGCCAGACAGAAGGGGTTCCCATGATGGAAATCTGGTACTAAGCATCTGGATATCAGCTGAAATACCATCTCCATTCATAAATTTATTATTTAGGTTTTCTTCAAAAACATTATTCTTATCCTCCAGTGACCATGCCTGGCCCAACTCTGATGGCTCATGCGGTCTTGTGTTTGCTGTATTCAACACAGTTGTAAACATTACTAAATAATATCCATCGTAGGACTGATTTTTTTCAGTGATACAAGCTTCTGAAGTAATACTGCAACTCATCACTCAGTTTCTCTCCCCCCAATACACTCCCCCTCC